AACCTTACAATGTCTTCCCATAAAAACTTCCCCATATCCTTAAAAATATCTTTTGTGAAGGCATTTCCAAAGAAGATCAATTTTAAGTGAAACCCTAATTTTTAAAATTCATATTTTGATAAAAGAAAATACACATTAGGGTTTAGAAACATCCCCCTAACCTTCCATAAACATTTCTCAAAAGAATCTCAAAGAAAACTTAAGTTTTCTCAAAACCCTAGTTTTCATTACTTAGGAAAAACTCAAGGTAAAGAAAGAAAAACTCTAGCAAAACACATACCTTAGCCTTCCCTTAGTCTTCCCTACAATTTCCCTAGCTTTCTTCGTCGGAAAACTCACCGGAGCCGCCACCCGAAGAGTTCCCGTCCGCCTTGCCCGTCCGCCCTTTCCTCCCCCTTCGGTTCGGTCGCACGAAGGAATGAGGGGACCGAATAGAATCGGTCCCCTTAAGGCTTAGGAGTTAAGGGAAAGGTCTAATTACCTATTTTCCCTCACTAAGTAACCCATACTTGAATAAACATTAAGGGTACTTTCGGTATTATGAGACTTCTCTTAATTTTAATTCCTAAATTAAGCAAAATTAAATATAAGTTCTATACATCAAATTTCTTATAATTTTGCGTAGAATTTTTCAAAATTATTTCCATCGAAATCCAACAACCTCGAATTTTTCACTTAAAACTCGTCGCGACACTTTGAAAAGCGTGCGAGATCTAAAACTACGTTTTGCGGGTTTTACAATTCTCCCTCCCTTATAAAAATTGTCCTCAAAATTTAAGACAAGCTTAAGAAATCATACCTTAGACAAATAAGTGAGGGTAGCTCTCCCTCATCTTTGATTTCTTCTCCCAAGTAGCATCTTTCTCAGTTCCATGCTTCCACATAACTTTGACATAAGGAATTTCTCTACTACAAAGCTGCTTAACATCATAATCTATGATCTTCTCAAGTTCTTCTACAAATGTCAGATCTGGTTGGATGTCTATTGCTTCAGTACTTTTCTTCAGGGCTTCATCTGAAATGTATTTCCTCAAGGAAGAGATGTGGAATACATTATATACTCCACTCATGTGAGATAGCAAAATCAATCTGTAAGCCACACTTCCAACTCTCTCTGAAATCTCAAAAGGGCCAACATACCTTGGACTCAATTTCCCAATCTTGCCAAATCTCTTTACACCCTTCATAGGACTAACCTTGAGGAATACAAACTCTCCAACCTCAAACTCAACAAATCTATGTTTGGCATCGTAGTACTTCTTCTGTCCATCTTGCACAGCCTTCAGTCTATCACGAATCAGTCTTATCTTTTCAGTAGCATCATCTACTAAATCAGCTCCAATGATCTTTCTTTCTCCTGTCTCAGCCCAACATAAAGGAGTTCTACACCTCCTTCCATACAAAGCCTCATACGGAGCCATGCCTATACTTGCCTGAAAACTATTGTTATAAGCAAATTCAATCAATGGAATGTGTGATTCCCATTTGCCGTCTCTGCAACCGGCTCCTTCCCTCTGTCTGCCATTGCCGTCTCCAGGTTTTGGCTCTGATACCAGCTGATGCCCCCACTGTGATGGATCGGTCACCTGGAACAAAAACAGAGAAGATAGTTGCAAAACAGAGACAAATGCTAGGAATACCTCTGTATATTCTTCCTTCCAGTAAAAGTGTTTTGTATAGAGTATATCTGCTTCTCTCTTTTCCCCCCTCCTATATGTATTACTCTCTATTTCTATATTTAGAAAATAAAGAAAAAGCTGTTAAAAAGTACTAATAACAGAAAGTAGAATTAAGGTGGTAGTGCCCATGTGGCTTGTTGAAGTGTGTGGGATGTGCCGGCAGTGTAGCATAACAACGGCTACATCATATGTCTTCTCACTTCCTTTCTGGTATAGGTAAAGGCTGCAATAAACCTCCTGGCTTTTGTGTTCTACCTTAACCATCTGGCAAACTGTACACTTAGCCACCATTTCTGCTACACTTTTTTTCATCCCTGGCCACCAAAAATATTCCTTCAAATCTTGGTACATCTTATTACTACCTGGGTGAATTGTATAACTTGAATAGTGAGCTTCCTGAAGGATGTCCTTCCTCAAATCTCCAACATTAGGGATATAAATTTTGCCTCTATACCGTAGTAGCTCATCCTCATCGAGCTCAAACTCCTCCACATGACCAACCTTCACCAAATTTAGGACTTTCTCAAATTCTGTATCTTTTGGCAAGGCTTCCCTTATCCTATCCTTCAAGGTGGACTGAATGATCATCTGATTCAAAGCAACAAACTCTGTATCATTGGGCTGAACTATAGAAATCTCTAACTTCTCTAGATCTCTTACCAACTCTTGCTGTTATGTAATCATCCAACTGGCACTACTAGAAGTCTTCCTGCTTAAGACATCTGCTACAACATTTGCCTTGCCTGGATGATATTAGATATCCAAATCATAGTCCTTGATAAGCTCCAACCAC